CAACTACTACTCCTATTTTCCTCACAAAAACAATCCTGTGAGTGTTGGGCTGAGATAGAGTGACTGGCCCAAAGTTACCCAGCTGGTTTCCAGGGGTGATTTGAACTCATGATCTCCCGCTATCAGGAGCAAGAAACCAGGAGCCAGGATAGGGATTCCATTTTGATACTGTTCTTGACACTGCCCTCGGGCTCAGCCTGGTCCACTCCTACACTTGCTTTCTATCCTAGTGCCTTAACCACTAGACCAAATTGGACACTAAGATTTATATGAAAGGGCATTCTGAAGATGACCTTGTTTTCAAAGTTTTCTTTCTTAGGCAAAAGGAAGAAGGCCCCCTCCAGAATCATGTCTAGGCTAACAAAGGTACTTTCTTAAGATCAGGATCTGGCTCCCATTCCCTGTGCTTTTAGAAGAACAGCCAAAATCTTCTTCACCAGTTTTTAATATTTTGCCATTGACAGTCAAGTTGAATATCCATATACTATTAACCTCTCATTGTCTTGACCTTTAATTGAACAAAACGGTACATAATAGGGCAACAATTTTCAATCAAGGTACCTCAAATGAGCTAACTTACAAAACATGACCAAAATCAGAGCCCCTTGACTCCCAAGGAAATGAAGTTTGAGAAAGTTGGGACAGTTTCCTAGCCCATCTTGCATTCCTTGTTCCCTTCCTCATCCAGAAGCAGCCACTTAAAAAATTTGCCTGCTAAGGAAAAATTTTGATAGCTCCCTCCTAAATTCACACAAAAAAACTCAAAGGGGAAGCCAGCAGGAAGTTGTTCCTGCTCCTAATGTTTTTTTTTTTTTTGGCCTGCCTTTGGTCATTCTGTTTCCCTGTTTAGATAAGGAAATATACGTATTTGGAACAATGACCTAACGGGACATTGGTTGTCCATCTCAGTAGTACAATTTGGCCACTTAAAATGAATTATATCCAAGTGTCTTATTCTTTTTTGAACTAGCTAAACGTCACAAAATGAATTTATATGTATTGAACCAATTATTTTTTGAAAAGCAAATTGAATACATACTAATCAGCATTTACACCAGGAATTTTCAAGACAAGGATCAAAGCTTTTGGAATGCAGGGTGATGAGGGGAATACGTCTGATCAAGCGATCATCTTTTCAATTCTAAAATTCATAGGCTTACAATAGATCATACTCACAAGTCTAATTAGTTGCCTATCCAGCCATCGCAAGACATCAGGGCCTTCCTCTGATTCAGCTCTGTAGACACCCAATCGAGCCATCAGGACAGCAGCTGCTTCTTGGTCAAATGCAGCTTCGATGTGCTGCAACTGACTCTGTGCATCTGCCCAACTAATTTATGGCAAGAATTAGTGAAATTTAGATTAAATGCTGTAAAGAACAGTCTACCGATAATTTACAGGCGCTTATGTTTCTTCTAAACCATTTTATATCAGCTACAAAAATGAACTGATGGTCCATCTCAGTTTCATAAACTATTTTATTTCTGGTTTATACAATACACCATGGTAGAGTCCCTTAATCACAATTTATAATCACAGATTGGTTTTGATTAGTTTATCTTAAACCATGGCTTAGCGTATCATCCAAATCTCTGATTAGCTGACTATCAGCAACCATCACTTGATAGTTAGGCATATTTCTTTCATCTCCAATGAAGGGGAGGTTAGTGAAGATCATGAGGGAGTGGGGAAAACACAGCTGACCGTCACCTCAAATGTAAGGTTCTGATTCCCCATAGGATTGCTATATTTTTCCCTTCATTGTTCAATTAGTAGAAGGAAGACTATAGAAGACCACCACAAAGATGGTTGGAAAGGCCAGCTTAACAACAGAGAAACCAGTTGAAATCTACCCATCTGTGGGACAATCAGGAGCCCATCCCATCAGTCACAATGCTAAGTATGCTGTTAATGTGGCTCAAGCAATACAATCTTTGCAACAAAGAAATGCAGCCAACAGAACCAAACCTAATTATCACAAATTATTCTCACTTTCTAGCAACAGTAGTCACACGAATGCGCCTCTGTGTACTGGAATGCTGATAATGCGTAACAAATTGGATAGCTCCTCTTCCACCCTGAGGTATTGGAGAGCTGTGCTGAAAGTTAATGAGATAAAAGTTGCCTAAGATACACCTTACATTTTCAAGACAGGTTGACAACATCATACAGGAGAAAAATGAAGTACAAGCAGTATAATATACTCATTTACAACTAACACAGTGGCTTCTTGGAGGCACAGAGAATACAAACACTAATATATAGTTCCAAGAGTAATTAAAACTAGATTGGAAGTGCAATAAACAATTTCTGCCTTCAAATGTGGTTTAAATAACATAAAGCAGATTTCTTTTTACTCTTAGTAAGTAGGCCTAGAGCTGTCATTGAATAAAAGTCTGAGTTCCTGAAAAGACCACCCAGAATTTTAAATGATTCTGTCTTAGAGTGGGGGGAGGAGAACAAGAATGTGAGCATTAGCTGCTCTTAATTCTAATAAAATCTTCATTAATCTCAAGTAGAGGACTTGGAACCTAGATATTCAAACAGGTAATGCTAGTGTTTCCTACTTGCATTGTAGCTCAGTAATACCTCTTCTTGGTCCATACCTAGATTCTTTTAAAAATATTTTACATATTTCACTCAAAAGACTTCTCTGACTTATCTAAACATCTACTGATCTTTAATGGCGTCAAAATTTCAGCAATAAGGCTGAGGGAATAACAGCGTATTTCTGCAGATTGCTGTCTCCTCGGCCTCCTCACCAATGGATTCTGCACTATATACAACATTACAAAGATTTTTAAAAAATCTAGGCTCACCTGATTTACTACTTCAAAATAAATGGCAAGAGTCATGGTGGGGTCAAGTCCACAAATTTTCCATTGGTATGTGCCACCTATTCCAAGCTCCTGTGAGACAATTCAAAATTCAGGTTTTATTCTAAAATCTTGTCGTATGTTATGTCATATGTAGATAGATAAATAGATAAATAGATAAATAGATAGATAGATAGATAGATAGATAGATAGATAGATAGATAGATAGATAGATAGATAGATGATAGACAGACAGAAGTGTTTAATAAATGTAAACCTATAAAAAGAAAACTAAGTACAGGTAGTCTTCAACTTACAATAGTTTGTTTAAGCACCATTCCAAGTTACAACCAAACTGAGAAAAAGATTTATGACCATTTTTCACACATATGACTGTTGCAGCATCCCCATGCTTGGCAACTGACTCCTATATATGACGGTTGCAGAGTCTCGGGGTCATGTGATCACCGTTTGTGATCTACTGACAAGCAAAGTGAATGGGGAATCCAGATTCACTTAACCATGTTACTAACTTAGCAACTGCAACAACTGATTCATTTAACTGTGGAAAGAAAGATCATAAAATGGAGCAAAACTCATTTAATAAGTATCTTCCTTACCAGTGGAAACTTTGGGCTCAATTGTGGTCATAAGTCGAGGAGGACCAGTACATTAAACTACAAATAACAAAGACTTGTTTATGCTAGTAAGTAAATGTGAAAAACCTAAAATAGTGGGCTCTTTTGTAAGTGTTTACTCTTAAGAGGGCTTACTCCTAAACAAGATTTCTGCCAAAGGGGAAGAATTTGCTACAATTAAATATTATTCTTGGTCACCAAAAAATAACATTTCTAGCATGTTCTCTCACTATAACCCAAATCAATCTATTTTCCAAAAAATATTTTTCCAGTACTTCTTTTCTGCACTGCTATTTTCCTTCTTTTCTTCTCCTCTCCAGTCTGCCCTACCCACACAAAAGCTTTTCATATTTCTACAGCCCCCATAAGTGCATCACAAGAACCAAAAATTATTCCTTCTAACCATTATTTCTTTTGCTCTTTGCATACTCTTGACAGTCTTTTTCCAAAAATCAGTCATTTCTCAGCAGCATAACAAATTGTCATATATTCCAAATAAAGCGTAAGAAACGGTTTTTGCTATTCAAGAATTCACTGTTTAAAGAATGTTTAAATCCAAGGAAAATTGGGGTGAAATTATTTTTATCCTTTTTGTTGTTTTGTTCTGTTTTAATAAAATAGCACTAAATTTCGATTCAATAATTATGAAAGAATCTGCTGTTAATTAGCCCTTGCTAATTATCCACCTCTGATTTGGGTAACCAATACACGCATATCATGTTTGTGTAGAGTCCTCAAGATACCACTGTAGTGGAGCCGGCCCATCATGGTCACATGTACCAACAGCCACCCCCACCCCTGGTCTCCCAAATGCAAGTTAAATAAGGTTGTCAAGTGAAGCACAAGGTGATTCAGGGGTGGGGGAGATCCTTGAAAGCCTAGTGCAGGCCCATGCTCACCTGCTCCAGCCCTCTCAAGGCCTCCCCATTCCCCGAGGTACTCCTCACTCCGCTTCTGCTCCTTGGATCTCCAAAGGCTTTTCCCCACATCCACCGGTCCACTGTTCCACCATATCTTTAAGCCTCATTTCCACCCCAGGAAGCAAAATATTCTCTTCTTCACTTACTTTTTGAAGAGTGGGAGTGATGTTTACTATTACCAGAATGCAATTTGGCAGCTAGAAATATGGCAGCCAGATTTTGGAATTGTACCATGTGACTGAGGGACAAAGCGACCTGTTCTGCTTCATTAACATGGTTTGCATAGCCTTTCTGAGACATGAACAGCCTTTCAGTGCCTGGAGATTTCTGAAAGGCTGGGCTGACCATGTTAGTGAAGCAGATCTAGACTACCTATACACCATGTTTCCAGCTATTGAACTGCATTCTGGTATCACTGTTGTTTTTAGAATCATGGGACAAACCTCTCTGTTTTGCTACCTTAATGCAGTTTGCACAGAAGCTTTCTGCAGTGCTGTACAACCTCATTATGACAGCAAAATGGAGTGGTTTGGCTTGTGGCCACCATTTTATCTCACCCATAGGTGGGTGAGTGCAAAATGGCAGCCAGTTCTGCAGCACTGCACAAACCATATGAAGGCAACAAAATGGAGTGATTTGCCCATGCCCATGCTGGATGATTGCACCATGTAGCTGAGCAACCCATTCCAGCACTATGGAAAGCTTTGGAGTTCATATCTAAGTGAGGAGCATTGTGTGGGATTTGGTGGGGTGGGAATCAGCCTTAAGGCCATCAGGGAAATGCTTATAGGCACAAGTGGGGGTGGGGGGTGGGGAGGAGCTACAAACATCCCTGCAAATGATCATAAGGGTGAATGAATGTGAGAGCACTTCAATGGCCATAACTTCACAACCAGGTCATAAGTATCTTCGGGGGGATTATCCACCATAACTTCAAAAGACCAATAAGCACCTATTATAAGTCGAGAACTACCTGTGCTTCTTACCCATCACCAACGAAAACTTACATTTTCAGAAACACTTGGCCCTTTGGCATTTAAGGATACACATGGTCCAATAGCTCCAGCTATCTTCAGTTCTCTACAAGTCTATAATAAAAAAAGTTCCAAATTAAACTCCAAGCAATAACTGCCTAACTGATCTCTTGATGATACCTCAGCATGACAAACCTTTCCTTCCAAGACCCTTCATTTAGAACTGTGAGTTTCAAATAACATAGAGATGATAAAATATTGAGATAGTTCAACAATGTTGTTAGCTTCCTATTACTGCACAGAAACTATTCTTTTCCATCATGAGAGAGTAAGTAAAGGATGGAAAATCTTTCTGAAACCAAAAGCAACAGTAAGCAATGTAGATTACCAATTCCTTTGGTTAGGAAAATATTCAATTATAAGCAGTACCTGTGACACTTACTTTCACTTCTAGAGTTGCTCCAAAAGCCATTCGGAATTCTCCACTGACATTTTTGCTAAACAGTCTCTGGAAAGTTTGCTTGAAGAGAGAAGTATTAAAAGAATCTCCCATCACCATATAACCCCTGAGGAAAAAAAAAGTCAATGAAATATTGAGAATATTTCCTGAAGTGACATAGATCATAACATTGGTTCCTTGGTTTTTCTTACTGCATTATGTGAATCTAGCCATCATAGTTTGTAAAGCATGGTTTATGTCTAGAATTTTGTGGGAACTAAGCCAATTATAGCTTGTTGAACAAACAATAACTCAGCAGGGAAATGTAATACTATATGAAAATGACCTTGGGAGACCAGGTGAAAAAATGCTGCCTAGTGAGCACAGCCCACAGTTCCATAATGAGTGGAGAAAAAGACTCAGGAGGAATCTTCTCTAAGGCTGTAAAGGCAGGAAAAATGTTCTTTCACATTACAGGTACTTGACTTATAACCATTTGTTCAGCAAACGTTGGAAGTTACAATGACACTGAACAAAGTGACTTGTGAATGGTCCCTGAATTTATGGCTATTGCACCCTGCAGTCATGTAATCAAAATTCGGTCACTTGGCAGCCACCTACACTTATGACCACAGGGGCGCTTCAACTCCCTCCACCTGCCTATCTCCCTCCATATCTATGCCCTTTGGCCCCCTGCACTCTGTGGCCCCTGCTGCCTTAAGCCATCTTGCTCTCTCTACTGATGGAGCATGTCTGGCCTGGTTCTTAGCAGAGTCACTAAGAGCAAGTAGGTGGCCATGTAAATCATCTAAATAAATAAACACAGCTGTTGACTGCATAACATTTCCTAAAGTCACACATGGCAATTTCCTTGTGAGGCTTCAAGAAGATGGCCTTACATGACCAGCAGCTGCCTTGCAGACATGCCTTGTCATCAGCAAGAGCAAGTAGATAGCGAAAGTCAGCTGGGCAGAATTCAGGTTGTCAGAGGCCTCAGAGTGCAGGGAGGCTGGACTGGGTTGGGGAAACTGGAGTACTGGATTGTACTGCTGGGCTGGACTGGGCCAGCTGAAGCTTCAAGGAATGCCTGCAGCTTCATGCTGCGCTGTGCCTCAGGGGTTTTTTGCATCCCCAGAGCTGCAGTGTGCCGAGCACCTCTGAGCTGCAGCATGGTAAGCAGCCGCAGAGTCACACAAAGGCTGCATTCTGCCCCACAAAGCAGGGTCCAGGATGGCTAAAAGGCCAGATGTGAAAGGGTAATAGGTAATTGGGAGAAGTTGAAGGGGAGGCAGTCCTTATTGTGGAAGAACTGAGGCTTGGCACCAGGAGGGATCAAGCCCAGAATGGCTTTGATTGGGGTGGGTCATTGGTTAACGACCAGTGGAATTTAGTCATTAACAATGGCAATGAGGAATGCTAGGATTACTACTGCTAAGCAATGCAGTCATGAGACATTGCACATTATGATCACATTGTATAGTGACAGAAATTTGAGGCCCAATTACCTTTATAACATGACTATCTATATATGCATATGGCTTCTAAATTGCCTAAAAGATAAATGCAGCGATTTCAAATCACCACTTCTTCTAAATGTACACATGACTTTTACTAAACATTTTCTCCCCAGGGTGATAGAAAGAGTTTAGAATATCTGTGCTAATCAAGAAATTTATCTCTTATTTGTAACAAATAACATTTTTACCCAGGATTAAGAACATACCCAGTTACATTTGTACAACACTTTATCTCCAAAAGACCAGTCTGATCAAGAGCACATGCATAAATATCAATGCAGTGTCCATTAGCAGCAGCACGATTAGACAATGCCTCATAATGCTGTGGAAATACAACAGTTTTAAGTTATTTTAAATGACAGTTATGAGAAAAGATTATTCAAAATTGTTTAGCATGATCTAAAGGCACATAATACAACAGTGTTGCTGACTTTAGATCTAAATTGGTAAGGGTTTGCATGTTCTATATATAAAGCTGTGTGGAATTACTCAATAAACATTAACAATAATTGGCTGCTGAGAGGTTTCCAAACCATTTGTGCTATAACAAAAATGTCTTGAAGAAGAGGGCTGATACAACTGAGAAACCACAAAGGCTAATTTAAATGCAAAAAATGCAGTGTTACTTAAGGTGTCTGAACAGAGGTTTTATGTTAAAATTCAAAGTGAGAACAGTGTACGTCCAAAAAACTTAAATCAGGAAATAGTAGCATGAAAGGGGTTCAAGAGATAAAGAAATAAAGGAACAGGTTCTTAATAAACAATGTTGGACAAATGCAGACAAAGATCCAAAAGAAAGAAAGTCAACTAGAAACTAATATGAAAGATAAACTGGATTAAATAATAGCACACAGCATATAAAGATTTGTAATTGTAGAAATATCAAAAGAACAAGGCAGCTGAAGACAAAATGAAAAAGCAACCAAGAATGCAAAGTTTCTGAAATTATTCACAGTGAAAGGTAAGTTCAGCAGAAGATATGGAAGATAATGTTTATCTGATAGAATTCAAACTGGACACTAATCCTTACTTTCATAGCTTTCTTCATGAATCGTGCATTGTCTTTCTCTATATCATGCCACGAACGAATCGGAGTTTTCAGCTCATCTCCTACCACCATGCCTGGCCCTTGAGTTGCTGGCCCTCCGGTAAACAACATTATTCTAGCCCCAGTATTTGGAAATGATCCCTTGAAAGTGGGGGGAAAACAGAATAAAAAACAACAGATGATATAAATTACTAAACTAGTTGTCAAGAATGTAGTTGACTACATTTGTCTCATTTGCGAATTAAATCAATCATAAGTTGCATTCTTTTAAAGACTTATTTCCCACAGTATCTACCTGACCAATCATCTATCAGGACCCCAGAAGTGCACCCTGGTCTGTTGCAGTGGCTGGAATGTTCCCCCAAAATTCGAATAGTTCTAACCCGACTAGTGTTTTAAAGGATCCTAAAGACCTTGCTCTTCATCCAGGCTTTTGGGCAAGGGTGACAGAAGCCCCCATTAGATTATGTGGGTTGTTTTCTTTTGTTCCCATCTCATTTTTCATCCTTGCCATCTTTATTCTTTATTTTTGTTGCTTTTGTTGTCTTTAATGTTTTAAGCAATTGAGAGCAGCATGGTAGCCTAGTGATGAAGATACTTGTCTCCCATTCTTCAGAAATTTAAGACTTCTATTCTAGGTTGCAGCAGATGCTTCTCTCCTAGGGCACAAATAAAAAATATCTGCTGCAAACTTTGCATGGTGTCAGGAAGGGCATCCAGCCAGTAAATACTCAACTTTTTCCAGTCACCCTGACTCTACTCTGAATTAAGGGATTACAGGGTTGTGAAAGTGACATTTTTTAATGTTTTAAGCAATTTGAAAAACATTGAGAGTTGTTGCAATTAGGTGGCATATATATTTAGTATTATAATTATACTATACAGAAAGATAGACAGAAATGATGCAAAAAAGAAAAAATATATAAACTAAAGGGAAAATATACTTTAAAAAATATCAGTAAATTTGAGCAGTCTTCTTTCAGTATTTCAAATGGTTAAAAAATTTGATTTGTAACAAGCTAGTAGGGGGCATGCATAAGTGCACCAACATGCCTACTGTCCCTGTCCTATTGTTTCTTTTTTATTGTTCTTATATGTATCCATTTCATGTATTCATAACTATGTTTATACTACTTATACCTGTTATAATTGCTTGACAAAATAAATAAATAAAAATAAAAAGCTGATTTAAAGTATTAATACCCTAATAGCCCATATATAAAGTATATCTGTTTTTTTAAACTGGTTTTATCCCAAAGTGCATTTTTTATTTGAATACATGTAAATTCATCAGAATCATACTTACACCCCAATTCTGCCTTCTAGCCATCAAAAAATTAGAAATACTATAGAATTATGATTCGAAAAGGAAAAAGTTCATTATCATGATACTGAACTTTCTAATTGTGCCCATAATATTTTTTGATCGCTTGGATTCCATAGAGAAACAAAATCAAACTTTATGTCTAGTCTCCCTAATCAGTATGATACATGAAAATATTTTTTTTTAAACTCTAAGGATTTGTCCTCCCCATAAAAACAGTCTTCACAATTTTGGTTTCCTTGAAATGTGTTGATGGCATAAACATGTAAATCCTATGACCTATGTCTACATATAAGAAGCATGACTTTAAGAACAAGAAAAAAACTGTTTATGGTCAATCATCAACACTTTTCAACATTCAGCACTTGATTTTTTTAACAAAGGTTACAAGACATTGAATGATACTTAATATAAATTTATATCTGTTATGTGATAACTACCCAAGATAGCTTACATTGCTAGTCAGTGTCTAACTCTGAATACCCATTCACACAGAGGTAGGACCCCAAAAAGCACGGAAGAGTCTCAACCCTTCCTTTTCGTATCTGAGAAAAGACACTGTTCTGTTAAAACTAGAGAAAACTCTTGAAGGAAATAAACAAATTGCTGGGCTGATGTGAGAATAAGCAGAATTAAACACTCTTCACAGCCTCAGAATTAGTTGGTTGGAATTTTCAGGAAAAAGGGAAATCTACAGACTCAGTTGTGCTACTTCCAAAAACATGTATGTTGGAAAATACATGGCTTCCAAGTACCAGACAATACTAGTAGAGTTTAGATTAATTCCAAAGGTATTTAAGGTTGTAAAAAAAAAAAAAAAGATACCTCTAGTAGTCCAACAGCAACGGACAAAGCTACTCCAGTAGATCGCAAGGGTCTCTTTCCCTGAGTAACTGGCCAAGGATCTCTTTGTAGTTCTCCTAGAAGATCTGTCATGTTCATGTCAATTTTGTGAACAGGCTGCAAAAATCTACAGGTGTTTTTTTTATCAAGAGAGAAGAAAGGAGAGACAGAAAGACATGTAATATTGTGAATTATGCACTGAGTACTCATTTATTTGGAAAATATGTAATATTTTAATCACAGATTCAAAATATATGTATCAAACCTCTGTAGTTTGATTCACCTATTACCAGCTTTATATTTACTCCCATATAGATGGCATGACCTTTGATCTGAAATCTAAATTACAAAGGCAGCTATTTCAAATAGCAAAAATAGGCCTGTTTTTTAAAAGATGTTCCTTTTGGGATTTAAGAAAAAGATGAATGCATTTGCATCATTTGAAATATTCTTTGTTCTGCAGAGCTACATTACCTGCTAGAAAGGTGAGGTGATTCTTGGGATTGAGGTGGTCTCCCTTGCTGAGCAGGGACAGCAGGCCTTGAAAGACCCAACATATCCTGACAATGAAAAACATACATTGTAAATTCAGAAAAAAATATAAAAACATGAAATAAGAACTAAGCAATCCTTTCAACTTTTCACAGAAGACAATTCAAAATATACCTGTATTTGTTTCGCTGACAGATCTTTAGTTCCTCTAAAAACATAACTTTTGGAGATCCCTTCGCAGCTCAATTCATGAACTTGAACCATTCGACCAAAGGTAATCAAGCCCACAAGAGCATCAGGAGGGAGCAGACTTAAAGACATTTGCAAGGATTCTTTCAAAGCTTGTAAGTCCTCCTCTTCCAAACATGTGTCTACCACATAAAGAAAGACCAGGGGTGTCTGCGGGCCACGCTTGATTGGGGGGAAAAAAGGAATACATATCACACAAAAGTACATACAGTGAAAGACTCTAATTTCCCTTACTGTAAACCATGGTAAAAGCACTTTATTCTTATAACCCGTTGTAGAAATGGTAAATATAGTTAAGGTATTTGAGAGATAACAAAATGGACTACCTGGACTATATATTCTATTGTAGAAAACTGGGGCATAAGTTCTGCTGGCTGATTCACTTCAGATATGCCTGCATATGCTGGAGGAAACTGAAAAAAAAATACACCAAGAATTAGAGCATGTGCTGAAAAATATTGATTTCAATGTCAGCATTTTTTCTTTCAATTAAACATATGAATCTTAATTTCATTTTCCTTTTATAATGGTTTCTGGTTTCTTAACCTTTTGGTTGTAATCAAATATAGGCATGATTTACGATTTTTTCCAAAATCATATCCCAGGCCTGCTCACCAATTTAAATATTATCTGAGTACACTGGTCTACAAATTTTGGGAAATTATTGACCTCCAAGATAAAATATGTTAATTTTACATATTTTGATTACATGAATTAGAAAGCAGGTGATAAAGATACTGGTTGGCTAAAGTTTTCAAGATATTTCACAATAAAGATTTATGCACAGGTGAATATATTTGCCTACAAGGGAGGGAGGTATCTAATAATCATGATGCCTCATAACTTTTCGACAAAGTATGGTAGAACAATTAAAAAGGTACCACATGGAAGTTTATCTTCACTTTGAGAACAACAAGGCAGATAGATGACTATGAAAAACACGTGGAAATTTTGCTTAGGTCCTATAAAGCACTTGGTGCAAACATGTCACTGAAAATTCACTACTTACACTCACATTTAGACTATTTCCCTTTGAACTGTGGGGCAGTGAGTGATGAACAGGGGGAGAGATTCCACCAGGATATCGCAGGCATGGAGAAAAGATATCAAGGGAAATGGAGTCATCCATGCTTGCCGATTACTGCTGGAATCTTCCCAGGGTTGACCCTACTGCAATTCACAACAGAAAAGCCAAAAAGTGCAGTTTAGATACAGAATAAAGATGGAACCTTGTCATTTAATCTAATGTTAGAGCTTGCCAGTTTTTCATGCAAAAGGCATGAAAATGTTATATAAAAAACCAATAAATGAATGGAAAGCTATGTTATTGGTATCAATAAAAAGATAAATTTATAATGATTGGTATGGCACTATTCTCATTGCTATATCACATTTTGCGGAAAAGTTATAGAGTATAATCACACATCCCCCTCATAATTTTGAATTATTTTGATGTAATTTTGACCTAAGCTGTTATCTTGGAAACTGGAGCCAATTAATACTCAGGACTTAATTTTTTTTTTTTTATTAGTGACCTAATTCTGGTAAAATGCAGCTGCTTTAATTTCTGAGGTTTTCTCCTTGTAGATCAATGGTATTACTTTTGCACTGAATACAAAGCCATAGGTAAGAAAAATAATTTAAGATTTGTTGTGATATTTGGATAAGAATGGTTTGCAAATCAATGGCAAATCAAAATTAGAAATCATCCATTTTCATATCTCATATTGTGATTTATTTAACAAGTACAACTTATTAGAGTCATACATCACATCAAGCTATCTTTTACAAATTATAATGGCTTTGTTTATAATACACACAATATGAAAATAAAAAAATAAGCATGAACCCAAGCAAGTGCTATCTCTGGCTTGGTATGCTGTGGTAACTAAGAAACCACAATTACAACTATTGTGTTCATCTAGAGATTAATAAAACAGGATTTCAGGCTGCCTATTCTACACAATCTCTAGCATGATTTCTAAACTATGGTTAGCACGAGCCATATTTTAACATGAACTAATTGTGATTAAACTGGGCCATAAAGCATTGTAAAAATCCAGGTGAACTCTTTGCTTAGAAGGCTTTTGGCAATAATATTAATTAAATGGAACAAATAAATAATAAGAGTGATATGACAAACAATCATGGTATGCAGTTTACCTGGAGGTACAGTAGAAAGCCAGTGGCATCACTTTAGTACCAATAAGATTTTTTTTAAAATGTATTACAGTAATGTTGGAACATAACAGTTTTACAGTTACCTGGTTCCTCTGAAAGCAGAAGTTACAAGCCCAAAGCTTGGCTCTGTAATCAACTTGACTATAAAAAAAGAATATATTAAAAAAGCTGAAATCAAATTTTGAGGTATTAATTTTTAAATATTTAATAAAAATTACTGTGTTCTGTTTCATTCTCAAGCACTTGACACTGAGGTAAGGATTACGTGAGTCGTGGGCAAGCATGCGTGCACGCACTCCATTTATGCGTGCAATGGGCACACATGCCCACCACTCATGCAAATGGAGCTGCGCACTCACACACATCTATCCACTATTTGCACAGAACCATCCTTTCTCCACCCACCCACCCACCAGTCTGCAAAGCCAGAAAGGTTGGGGAACTGAGATATAAATAATTTTACCACTCCGCAGCAATCAAAACAAACCACAGACAAAACTTAATGTACTAAACAAATACATACCAGAGTGGACTGAGAACAGCTTTGCAGGTTGGTCTACTGCATAGAACTGGCTCATACTGGACAGGTGGTAAATCTAACCGTTCTTTCAAAGGTGTTAGAAGACAAGCCAATGGAACAACCATTCTGGTGGCTTCCAATCTGCTGGAAGGCCAAACATTCCAACTGAAGCGAACTCCATCACGCTCTTCATTTTGCTGGATAAATTCTAGGTAAGTCGCCATAGAATTGTATTTCTGCAAAACCAGAACACAAGTTTGAAATAGAATTTTAGAGCCTTGAATAGAGTGGTAATTTCTTTCCACTCAATAAATTGAAAACCATGCACAGTATATAGCATATTATTCAGATACTCAGAGGCTTCACTATAAAATTACTCAACCAGTGGCATTTACCTGTAATATTAAGGAGGGGAGGGGGTTGTTCTAATCTGATAATATGCTACAATGGCTGGTTCACACTAAAGTATAACCATGGATTTATAAGCCACAAAGGATCCATTCACATATTATGAACATAATTATTTGTAATGCTACATTTGAAAACAGCTGCTACCATTTGTAACTCATTCATTCTTTCAGACAAGCAATTATGTTTTTTTACAAAGAAGAGTAAAATAAAAATGAAATAAATCCTTTTTTCATCCTTTCTTTTGCCATTCCCCAGATGGTATTTCAAACAGTTTATAGTTATAAATATTGTGTTGCCTTTTGTTTCTCTACACCTTTTTTTGTTTATTGAACAATGTGATTTTTGCTTCTGTGCTGCATTTTTTTTCTTAATGAAAGAGGAAATTCTTCTGAAGCATCTTTGATATTTTGAAATATTGAAAAGGTTAGCTTAATAGAATAAATACTACTGGTGTCTATATTATCTGACTTATAAATGATTTTAAATATTTGTATTGTATTTTGTATTTTAATGTTTTAAATTTTCAATAAAGTTTATAAAATTAAAAAAAAGAGGAGTAGGAAAAATATTAGAAAAGAACTGGACTAAGTTTAACCTTTTTATTCTGTTTATGCTAGTTAGGCTTTAATATCTCTTGTTTACAGCTTTGTAAAATGTATAAAAATGGGCATTCAGCTTGCAGCAGTAAACACTTAAATCAGACTAGGTTCTGCAAAATATTTTTACAATCAAAGATATTTCATTTTACTGATATGGATTGAGAATCTGAATACCGCTCCTATCTGTAGAAGACCAGTGATTTGATGATACAATGAACCATCATTTCCCTCTTTTGACTCAGTCAGAAGCTGTTGTGCCATTATGAAATTGGGCAGTTCTGAAAATTAAAAGGATTTAAGTTAAAAGGATTTCCACACTGGAAAATTTCTTCTCTTTAATGAAATTTAATTTTGTCTGTACTTTGAAAGACTAGGTTATCACCAAAGAATGAAGGACCAAACCTGCTGTTTGGATGCAATATAGCCATGAAACAAGACATGATATGGATCCCTAACTCCCCTTTACATTGGGATTCAGTGTGTATGTGTGTGTTAAGTAGTGGTAATTAGAAGTGTGAAACTGCTACATTAAGGAGCAGGATGTGGAACCAGGGTAGGAAGATCCAGAGGGCTATCTGGAGCTGAACATACTTAAAACTGTAGAGATAAGAGTGGATTTTAGGAGGAGCGCTTTTGTTCTACCACTTCTTTATTGTATTTGATAGCACAGCATCAGCAATAGAATCCTGTGAGTTTTGGGGTCCTATAATCTCCCAGGACTTGAAACGGATGCTTAATATTAGAACCATCATTAAAAAGGCACAATAAAGAATGTTTTTCCTGCATTAACTCAGAATAGAATAGAATAGAATAGAATAGAATAGAATAGAATAGAATAGAAGAGAAGAGAAGAGAAGAGAAGAGAAGAGAAGAGAATACTTTATTGGCCAAGTGTGATTGGACACACAAGGAATTTGTCTTGGTGTAAATACTCTCAGTATACATAAAGAAAAGGTATATTCGTTAAGAATCAAGAATCATAACGTACAACACTTAATGACAGTCATAGGGTACAATCAACAATCAAATCATACTAGGAAACAGTCAATATAAATCGTAAGGATACAAGCAACAAAGTTACAGTCCTACAATCACAAGTGGGAGGGGATGGGTGATAAGGAGTGATGAGAAGATTAACAGTAATAGTAGTGTACACTTTGTAAATAGCTGAACAGTGTTGAGGGAATTATTTGTTTAGCAGAGTGATGGCTTTTGGGGGAAAAACTGTTCTTGTGTCTAGTTGTTCTGATGTGCAGTGCTCTATAGCGTCGTTTTGAGGGAAGGAATTGAAACAGTTTATGTCTGGGATGTGAGGGATCTGTAAATATTTTCACAGCCCTCTTTTTGACTCATGCAGTATACAGGTCCTCAATTGAAGACAGGTGGGTAGTAACTGTTTTTTCTGCAGTCTTAATTATCCTCTGAAGTCTGTGTCTGTCCTGTTGGGTTGCAGAACCAAACCAGACAGTTATAGAGGTACAGATGATCGACTCAATAATTCCTCTGTAGAACTGTATCAGCAGCTCCTTGGGTAGTTTGAGCTTTCTGAGTAAAGCTAGTAGGCTAATTATAACCCACCAAAAATAGTTTCACTTCTAAAAATCTTATCACATTTTGATTAAGATCATATTTTCACTTTTCATAGGCAATTACTTTATAATATAAAATCTGTGTTGCATATATCTACCTCATGCACAAATATGCTTCATACCTCATTATTAAGTTTATGTAAAATGTAAGCTTGTCTAACAAAATCTATAATTGGGCCTCAGAATACCAAAAGATGTTTTAGCCAAATCAGGTACTCATGCAAGCCATTATCATATATCAAGGATACATTCACAGCAGATATCAAGAACAGCTTGAAGAGTTAGTTAACACATAACCCTAAAAAAAGAACAATCTATTTTCAAACTATTTAATAGAAATTTAAGGGCGCAATTCTAATTAAATTTATTGAAAGTAAATCTTACAAGCTACAAGTTAAATAACAAGTAGGCACTAACGTAACATATTAACCAAGGCATTAAGTGATACAGGACGAGAAGCTTGGGACAATGGGACATTGTGGATAGAGCCATACCACAATAACACAGCTATGCAGGTAGTCTTCAACTTGCGACCACAATTGAGCCCAAATTTTATGTTGCTAAGCAAGACAGTTGTTAAGTGAATTTTGCCCCATTTTATGACCTTTCTTGGCTCAGTTGTTAAGTGAACCACTAGTTGTTAAGTAAATAACACAGTTATTAACTTAAGTAATGGTTAATTGAACCTGGTTTCCCCATTGACTGCTTGTAATGTGATCATAAAAAATGATCACATCATCCCAGAACATTGCAATGGTCATTAATATGAGATAGCTGCCAAATGTCTGAATTTTGATTACGTGATCATGGGGATACTTCAATGTTCGTCAGTGTGAAAAACTGTCCTAGGTCCAATGCTGTTGTAACTTTGAACAGTCACTAAAGGAACTGTTGTAAGTAGAGGACTACCTATAATATATTCAAAGGGCAAATTCTTGTTGGATTTTTATACAGAAAGAACTGAAATAAATTGGCAATACCACCATGCCTTTATATTAATTTGTGGCACAAACATTCATGTTACACTTTTTGAAAAAGAAATCCCCCCAGAAAAAGGCACGTTTCCTAAATGAAAGACTGTAAGGATGGGCAACCATCATTTTCTTGCTGCCCAACCCCACCAATCTCCGTCCCACCTGATTATTGTTTCAGATATTTTTAATGCAAAAATAAGAAAGCAACATATTGCAAAGCACCCACCTCCAGCACTGTACTTATTTACAATCATGCCTTTAGGCTTCAGAAGGCTGCACTGGCAAAGCGGAGACGTATTGAGTACCCCAAAATAAATTTTCCCATAGAAAAAAAATTGCACACTGAACTGAAGAAGCTTCTCGGATGAGAAGCCAAACGTTTTTAAAGGGGGGGGGGACCCCAAGGAAGTCCAGTTGCCTTCTGGGAGAGCTCACTAAACAGTTAAAACCGGTTCTTCTAATTTGCTGGTGATGATGCTCTCTCTGTATATATATAACATACAGACGGCCAACAGTTACAAACGGTTCAGAGTAAACGAGCGGCTGCACTGACTTCTGTAACCGGCTAAGCGTCTCCAGAGAGGAGAGAAGGAGCCGGAAAGAAGTTCAAACCAGGAGGGGGAAAGAGGCCCAAAGGCCGAGAGACGCAGCCAGGTACCACCCTTCGCCCGCCCCCCCCCCCCAACAGCCTCCGAAGCCCCCCCAATGGGCACCTAGAGGAGAAGAAGAAAAAGAAGAAATCACCCTCTCGAGCGCTCACAAGACACGGCCTCCCCGCTTCAGTTCTTCCTTTCCTGCCTCTTCGCCTCGCTACCTCTTCGCCGCCTGGACGTGCTTCCACGGCTAAGCCACGCCCACGTCGCTAAGGCCAGCTCAGCACCACCTCGCCCGGAGTTAAAATGGGGGCTGTAGCATCAGTTCCTGCGGCTGACTTTGCCTCCGCGAAGCCTTCTTTCAGCTCCTTCAGGTCATTTCGGACTGCCGCGATCCGAAGGGCAGGTCGAGGGGCCCGGCTGCACGCGCTAACTTCAAAAGCAATCGGGAAGTTTGATTTCCCAACTATTTCTCCCTTTCAGTGGTTTAGAAGATTATTTTGGCTGCTGAGGAAGGTGCTGTCGCCTTTTTTGCCTTTGAGTATGATTCTCCCTTCAGTCTGGAGAATTGCCCTCTTCCAAAATGGCAAAGGGAGGAAGGCAGGCAGAGAACAGGCATAGATGTTGGAAAATCAGTTGCCTTTTCCGTTTGTGAAAATCATTAGACTACAAAGGAAGTAATTCGGGTTACGCTGAGCTGTATCGCTGCTTTTTCGTCCCTCCTTCCTACTGCAATAACCCATGAAGACGATATTACAGTTCATACTTCGTGTAACATGGACTTTATTTAAGCAAATGTTTTATTTATTTCTAGTTTCTTTAATGCTGATGAAAACAAGAGAGCAGTGGCAGGCAAATTTAGAGGATTTCCTGAATGTGTCAGAGTGGCACATATTGATGCAGCAAAGGTGCTCCTCACACTGCAGATCCTGGTATTGCGGCCCAAGCTGAGAAAAGGGGGCAGCTGAGCACTAAACGTCTTGATCTCCATCTCTTAGCAACAGCTGAGAGGCTGTTAGTCAAAGCAAGTTTCTAGTCAAAATTGGAATAAATTTTCAACATTTATTAACAAAAACTATAGTCCCTGTTTTCAGACGCTGGTTATGTATGCCTCATGTCATGTAGTAGTAGCATATCACCATGGAAGCCACTACAGAAAGAAGCAAGAGACTATTTCATTCAAAGACTAGTATATATTACATATAAATTATAATTTAGAATAATACACTATCCAAAAGGTATAAAATACTGGCACAGATTCTGTACTGTCACAGACAATTGAGCAATTATTCCCTTTCAATATCTGCAGGCAATGTAATAGAGTCATTCAGGGAGACTGTCAAGGTACCACAGATAAAATTAGTTTGGTTAATAGCAGTGTTGCCCAGAAATCCTTGTAAAATGTGTGCACAGAAAAGACCAATCTTATTTTCCACAGAAAGCATTCAAATCTACACAATGTACTTATTTTACACAGGCTTAAAATGGTGGGAAAGTACACTTCTTTATGTGCTTCTTGAAATAATTTTTAAATAGGATTTTTTGTGCTTTTTTCTTAACCTCTGAATTTTAAATCTTTTATAGCTTTTATCTTCCACAATTAGGTAATTTATTAGCTCTCCCATGAAAAGAGATAAGATGAGAAAAAGCAGTATCAGAAAGTAAACTCTGGAATACAGTTAGAAAATAAACTACAAAAGCAGCAAAATTTGAGAAGTTCTTAGGAGTAATGAGGATAAAAAGTATAAGTACAGTAACACTAATGATAGAATGAATCCAGTGCACTTGTTAAATAAATAATCATATAATAGCATGGCCACTTGCAAATAGTGGCCAAAAGTCAACAAAATATAGAATTCTTCTCCCTTGAGGAAGAACCAAATTACCAACAACCTCTTCTGCTGCCATTTCATTCAACCACTCTTTTGATTAAAGAAGGGGATTGCGATGTACAGGGGTTGATATTATCCTTTGGACAGTCAATAAGCATTGACTACAGATGAAATCAGTAATATTTTCATTCTGGGTCTGGAACTTTTGAAACAGATGCTTGCTATATTTCCAAAATGATAAATTAGCAAAGATTATGCTAGCATAAAACTCGAATTAAAAATGAACAATATTATGAATCAAGAAAAATATTTGAGCAAATTAAAAGGATGATATAACACAAAGAAAATGTTCCTTCAGATATAGGTGATATAGGTGACTAAAATTAAGAGGAATTGCACATTTCAAAATAATTTGATCACCACACTGATCACAAATAGCCCTTGATTTATAACCAGTCACTTAGCAATTATTTGAAGTTATAACCGATCTCACCAGAGCTACTTGCGACCTGGTTTTGAAGTTCTGATGACCACCACCCCTTTCTGCACAATTATGTGATCATATTTTGGGTGCTTGGCAACCAGCTTGCATTTACTGCCATTTACAGCGTCCTTTGTTCACAGTTTACATTTTTTATTCTGGAAAGAGATACTTCTTGTTTTTGGAAAAAACAGCCATTCAGTTCACTTAATCACTGCCACAAAAAGCTTGTAAAATCGGGCATGGTGACATGCTTATGTGCTTAATGACTGGCACAACCTACAACCATAATTCCAGGCTCAATTAGATTCATTAAGCAAGGACTAACTTTGTCCAAAATAGATATAAAAGGAACTGATAGATATCACACCCCCATAGACACACTTCCTCCTGTCTTCTAGCCAGTTCTGCTTTCAATTTCATAAGACTGATTTATTGATTGAGTGGCTGCCAAATTTTGTTGAAATTTAGCACCCCACAATTTTTGTGTTCTTTGAAATGAAACAATTTGGGGCACTTCTTTTTTTTTCAAAATAGGGTTTTGAACTACCCCACAAAGAAAATGCTGGCATTGTAAATTCAAGATGAAATGCCATAACTTTAAGAAATCACATAACAGCGTTCTTGAGAATTAACTCTTTGAACAGCTTCAGATAATGACTGATAGCAAGCTTACTGAATAGCTTTTGGAAGCAGATTTAATTGACTCCTTTGGAGCTTTGCCAGGGCACAAACAGAAGGATGCATTAGAATAGATTAGATCGGGGTGTCAAACTCATGTCGTTATGGCGGCGTCATGTGATGTATCAGGACTTTTTGCCCCTTTGCTAAACTGGACATGGGCATAGCCAGTGTGTGACACATCTGGCCTGTGGGGCGGGAGTTTGACAGCCCTGGATTAGATGAACTTTGACAAATACTGCTAGCTATGTGTGTAACAGCTGCAACCCCAAATTGATTTAGTTTCATAGGCAGCAATACAAATCAAATAAATATATGGTAGTATGTTAAGACATCCTCTAATATATTTTAATTCAATAGAGAATATAAACTAAAATAGGAAACAAAAAGAAACTGCTCTATTAGATCCAGGTTTTGGAGAGGACTGTCCATATACTTCCAATCCTCTTTCTGTACAAAAACTTAAAAATAGGATATGAATAATACGCATTTTAGCTCAGATTTTATTTCATACAGCCTACAATATGCCTTAGTCATAGTCCAAAAACAAGTTTTCACTGCTCCAAAAGCTGAAGCATCAAATAAGGATAATACATTTCCTGTTTCTTCAATTAATAAATGCACTTCAGTCTCTCTTAATTGCCATAGACCTGATAAGCTGCCTCTACTCTCAGAGATTCAGATAAAACCTAACTTGAGAATAGTTGAAGTATCACAGGTGGAATCTCAAATAATGAAACCTCATTTTCACAACCCAACTGATTTTAGAAACTTTACAAACTCTTTCAATTATTTCATGGAGTGTTCTGGGTGAAATTCCAAGTTAGATGACTATGCTTTTTTTAAAGTGTTTAGATAAACATACTGTACTTTTACAGTAGACATGAATTGCAGGAGAGTCTTAGAGGATTATAATATTAGAATTGGCTTCAATGACTATCAGCTTTATACAAAGTTTAATTGTTATTGCCCTGATTTTCCACAATGAATTCCTTATTACCTTGCCAGTTAATAGAGTCCATAACCAGTTAAAGGAGCCGTATATAATGCAAATGTTGACAAGTTTAGAACTTGGGATCTTGAATAGCACATTGAATACTGACTTTGCAGTGGAATATATCCATTGGGACAGGAGAAAGCCCCCACTTGATAGATTATGCTGTGGTTTCAATATCTTAGTTTTCTTTCTGTAAATATTCACAATCTTTATGTGTTCTGATAGTGCTCACTTTCCAGCTGTTCTTTACTTGAGATTATTGATACTTGACTATTAGTTCTATTCCTCAAATCGATTATGAAATGGGTCCAACTCCAAATAGGTCACCTTACCAGGACTATCTGGTAAAAAGCATATTATAGTCTGAAGAGGGAACTCAAGTTTGCTTTGTGATTATGGAAAGTTTGGACAGATTTATTCTGGAGAATATATACTATCAACTCTTATCATGAATACTATCATTGATACATAGAGCATAGAGCAACACATCAACTTGCGTGCAGCTGTATTCCTTGTACTGTGCCTCAGCAGGATTATTGCCGGGCTTCTGCTTACTTGAGTGACCCTCAGCATCGCAACAGACTCATGAAGTGTGGTGGAGAAGCTCTTTTGCGGTGTGAAAATCAGAGAGACAGATGTAAGTCCAGTAGCTGGGGATAGTTAGGCAATGAACATAATGCCATTGACAGTCCAATGACAGGAATCAGTGATAATAAATGTTGGCAATGTTGTATGCCCCAATGAGCAGAGGATATTGCCATGCAATACCAGCACCACTGATTTACACAGAAGTGCTGCTGCTGAATCAGTGGCCATGACATACTTGCTAATGGACCTAACACCATTCAGATTCTCTGGATCTTAGTGTGAAGCTACTGGTTGCTTGGTGCTCTTTTATAATAGCTTCTTGGTTCATAAAATGCTGGAGACCATTTGTTGTGGGCTTATATTCATGTCATCAACTACAAAAATGGAAATGGGGTCATAACCAAAGGAGAATACCAGCAAATAGCCCGAATTTGCAAGAACAGGATCAAGAAAGCTAAGGCTCAGGATGAACATTTGCAACAAATGTGAAAAGTAACCCAAAAAAGTTTATTTCAGTGTGTAAAGAACAAGACAAAAGTCAAGGAAATGATCTATCCACTAATGGGAGAAGATGGCAAGAAGGTGACGGGCAGCAGGGAGAAAGCAGAAGTGCTTAATGCCTTCTTTGTTTCTGTCTTTAAGCACTTGGAGGTTTATCTGTGTCCTCAGGTCACCTGCATACCATTAGCTATGCA